TCAACTTTTGGTTTGAGTTTTTAATTTTTATATCCACTGAGTTAGTTTGAACTGATATTACCAACAAACAAATCTCAATTAATCGAACATGTAATTTAAAACTGAAAAGATGACAAAATAATTTTCTAAAAATTTTGAAATAGTTTATTTTGTAAATAAAAAAGCAAAAAATATAACATGCGTTTTCAGCTTTTGGTTTTGGATTTTAGTTTTTAGATTTGGTTTTGCTTTACATTTTTTTGTAAATCCGTAAATTATTTAAGAAAAATAAAACAACAAATTATTTAAAAGTTACCATTATAATTTATCAAGATAGAGTGATTTTTATTTAAAATAAAAAATATTAACATGTTTTAAAGTACATGATTTAAATAATTGATTAATAATTGATAATTTTGTTTTTTGTTGAAAATATTAAATATTTTTGGGCTAAAAAATATTAACATGTTTTAAAGTACATAATTTAAATAAGTGATTAATAATAGATAATTTTTTCTTGTTGAAAATATTTAATATTTTTGGGCCTGAAAATAGTAATTGATTTTTGATCCATTAAGGTGGAAAATTTATTTAATGTTTTTTGGAGTTTTTCTTTAATACTAAGCCCAAAAAACAAACAATTAAATTTCATAAAAACAAAAGCAAGTCCAAAACTCTATTCCATAAATAACCGCCGGTTTAATTTAAGTAATGCGTTTTAATCAACTATATAACTTGTATTATTTGTAACACTCTAGAAAAGGTCCAAATTTAAATGACAACTTGTATAAGTAGATAAAAAATGACTCTATTTTAATAGAATAGATTTAGGAAGGATTCACACAAATTTAGGAAGAATTAAAAACTAACATTTACACACAGACGACTAACTTGAACATCCCCTATATATTAATTATGGAGCATTACAACATATTTTGATAGCCATATATCATTACTACGTTGATTCTTAGAATCATTAGAAAATAAGTTGGTTCATCTCAATATATAGTATACTTTTTATTAAATTAACGGGAATTCGACCAAAAAAACACGAACTTTACACGAATTGCCAAAAGAAACATGAACTTTTAGGCTGGCCAAAAAACACAAAAATTTCGTTGACTTTAGAATTAAATAACAAAGTTTTCGTTGACTTGCCAATTTAGCATGCCGTCAACAAATTTAACAGAAAAAATTTGACGTCGTTAAGAAATAAGATGAAACGACGTCGTTTTACATGAATTTAAAAATAAAAACATGTACACCCACGAATTCGAAGCCGGGTTGATTAGGTCAAATGACAAGGCATTTTACCATTGGGCTACTGCAGTTTTAATGAAATTAGTAACACATTTAATTTTATTTGGTACTGATTAAATATAAAAATTGTCTACAAACTTAAAAAGATCTTTAAAATTCCAAAAAATTAAAAAAAAAGATTTTTTTATAAAATTAATTTTGAAATTAAAATTAAAAATAAAATTTTATTTTTTCTTTAAAAAAATCAAAAGTCTTCCAAAATATTCTATTTTAAAAACAATTCCTAAAAATTAAAATTAATTATAAACACAAAAATACCCACATATTAAAATTAAATTAAATGCTTAAAATAAATATTCTACCCAGTATGAGTGCGATTTTAATTTTTATCTAATAATTGTAACTTAATTTTTTTCATTTTCTTTGAATTTTTAAATTTTTTTAGAATTTTTTTAAAAAAATTGAAAATTTTGGAAGACTTTTGCTTTTTTAAAGAAAAAATAAAAATTTATTTTTATTTTAATTTCAAGATTAATTTTATAAAAAAATATTTATTTCTTCAACTTTTCTGAATTTTAAAGATATTTTTAAGTTTTCAGACAATTTTTGATATTCAGTCAGTACCAAATAAAATATAATGTGTTAGTAATTACATTAAAAGTGCCACTAGCCCAGTGGTAAAACGCTTTGCCATTTGACTCAATCAACCCGGGTTCGAACCCGTGGGTGTACATGATTTAGTTTTCAAATTCATGTAAAACAACGATGAAACCGTTTCATCTCATTTGAAAACGACTTCGTTTCACTTAACGGCAACATTTAACGTTGCATTTATTGCTGTGATGATATGACCAGTCAATATTAAGTTGCTTAATAAACCAAAAAAAGTCAACAAAAGTGCAGGGTTTTTTTGGCAAGGCTCGATTACAAGTTTTTTTTGGCAATACGTGCAAAGTTCATGCTATTTTTGGTCGAATTCTTCTAAACTAACTATGCAATTAATTGATAATGTATAAAAGAATATTCTATATCTACTCTATTAAAATAGAGTCTTTTTTTTATATACTGATACAAGTTGTCATTTAAATTTGGACTATTTTTAGAGTGTTACAAATAATACAAGTTATATAATTGATTGAACCGCATTAATTAAACTAAACCAGCGGTTATTTATGAGAAAGAGTCTTGAGCTTACTTTTGTTTTTAAGACAAATTATATGGTTTGATTTTTGGGCTTAGTATTAAGAAAAAACTCCAAAACACATTAAATAAACTTTCCACTATAATGGATCAAAAAATAATTAATATTTCAGGCCCAAAAGTATTTAATATTTTTAACAAAACAAAATTGTCTATTATTAATCATTTATTTAAACCATGTACTGTAAAATATTTAATGTATTTTGTATTGTAAATAACAATTACTCTGTTTTTATAAATTTCAATGGTAACTTTTAAATAGTTTATTTTTCTATTTTTCTTAAATAATTTACTGATTTAAAAAAAATATGTAAAGCAAAACCAAAAACCAAATCTAAAAACTAAAATCTAAAACCAAAAACTGAAAAACGCAGGTCCTGTTTTTGCTTTTGTTGATTTAGAAAATAAGCCATTGAAATTTTGTTTTAAACTTTTTTTGTCATCTTTTTAGTTTAAAATTAGATTTTTGATTTATTTGGGATTTGTTTGTTGGTAATATCTGTTCAAACTAACTTAGCACATCTAAAAACTAAAACTCAAACCAAAAGCTGAAAATCAAAAATAGAAACTTAAAAACTAAAAACTAAAAACCAAAATTTAAAACCAAATCTAAAAATAAAAACTGAAACTAAAAACTAATGCAAAATAATCATCACCACAAATTTTGGATTATTGATTTTATACCTAAACATACTTTAAATAAAGATAAAACCCAATTATAAAAAATTTTAATCATAAAAAAATTCCGCGCTTGAAAAGTACGGGTCAAAATCTAGTTATATTCTTAAATAAAAGATACGAAATTGCCTAATTATAATCAGTTCATTTAATGATTTTGAATAATAAATATTTGATAACAATTTTATGTCTTCCTATTTTTAATTTTATATTCTTAAAATAAATTAATCATATTAATAATATAATAAAAAATTAGATTTTTCTTATATGCTATATTTTGAATTTTTTGAAACGATAATAAATTACTAAAATTGTTAAAAGTCAATATTGAAATTTTGTGATCATAAATTTCGAAGATTTAACTTTTTGTTATAACGAAACACAAATGATCATAAAATCATATAAATATATAATCTCTTTAATATATATTCAGAGTATATATATATATATATATGTGTGTGTGTGTGATAATTAATTGATTCTATAACATGTTAATTGCAAAATTTAATTTAATAATATATATTTAATTTTATTATTTTTGAAATCTTTTAAATATTATGTCTTTAAAGGTTTTTGTTATTTGAACTGTTTTAATGAGTCTGTTTTGTTGATGTCAAAAAAAAAACTGTTTTAATGAAAATTTGTTAAAATTAAATACTAAAATTCGAAGCTCATTATTAGGTTTCATACTACATTTTGATACACATGCAAACCATTTACGGGCCGAATTCACAAGATGTGACATACGTAAATACATAGGAACATGCAAAACTCAATCTCCTTACAAATTTCCCTCCAACGAGCCTAGACCACGACATTCTCGATCACGTCTTGAATAAACTTTCTTAAAGCCACCTTCGAAGACCCTCCGTCCATTAACGCCATGTGGCACTTCTCAGAGCACCTCCAACGCAGGAACATGGAGGATCCTTAACATTAATCCTTAGGATTAATTTAATATAATATTATTATTTAATCTGATAAATCTAAGGACTAATCCTTAAATAGGGATTTGAAGAGGCTGATCCTTGTCTACGTGGCAGCCGCGTTTGACGGGTTTCGTAATGAAAAAAAAAATCATTTTGTTTCGAAGCAAAAAAAAAAACGAGAGCTCTGGAGAAGAATGAGGCGATTTCGAGATGAGAAGTTTTCTTCTACGAGATTCATTCTCTGCAGAGAAGATTCAAGCTGTAGAAGAGATTTTGTAGCTCTTCAGTCTTCATCGTAAGTTTCCTTCTCTCTCCTTCGTTTCGCGGCGGTTATTAGGGTTTTCAAAATCTTCGATTAGAGATTTCGATTTGTGGCTAAGACTGTTTTTATCTGTTTGAATCTTAGGGTTTCCAGTGATTTCGATTTGTGGTCATACTCTCATTCTCAATCTTTTCGGAGACGGTGACGTGTTTGGCGAACTCTGGTTAAGGATTCGGATCCGTGGAGCTTGAAGGATTCGGAGTAGGCATCGATGCTAACACCAGGGAGGCCTATGGGGATGAAGTCGTGGCCGTCGGAGATTGGTTCGACGGAGAGAGAATGGGTAGAGATGGAGGAGGAGGTGTAGGTGGTTTAGCGAATTGGACCATTGGGTTTAGGTGGCCTTGGACTGGGTATGGTAAGACCAAGACGTGGCCTTTGGAGTTGGTCTTTGTTGTTGTTGTTGTTTCGGCCATTGGAGCTCAAGAGAGAAGGATGGTGTTCTGTTTGTTTTCAAGTGGAAGGGGGAGAGGAGAAACATAAACTGTGTCGGGATGAATTGAAGGGAGTTTTTGGGTAGTTAGTTGTATATGGTCGAACTCATTGTTCACGTTTCGCGTTGGTGCACCTCCAAACCCTCCACCTCTCTCTATGTTTTGTTTCAAATTCTCTTTTTCTCTTGCGTCCCGATCATGGCCGTCGCTGAGAATGCTGGTATCAAAGTTGACTCTTCTGCTCAGAACTTAGACAACAACAACACTACTCCAAATGGTGGAGGGAGTCTCAAGAGTGAGATCAAAGATTTGTCTGATGCGTTGTCCAAGCTCAACCCCATGGCGAAGGGTATGTGTATATATTCTCATCTATTCTAGCTGAATTTTGATCTCTGTGTGATGTTTGATGGATAATAAGTTTGTGTGTGTTTGAACTGACAAGTTTAATTCTTCATTGTGATTACTGTGTGGATTCTGACATGGATTAATATACAGTTTTGAACTTTTGTGTGTTTTGTTTACCATGATTTGGTAGCTTCTTTGTTGATTGACAAAGATTGTATGTTAAACAGATTTTAACAAACATTGTTAGTGAATTTTAAGAGGTTTGTGTGTAATTTTTTTTGGGAAATGATAGCTATGTTTCAGAAGAGCATGCAGTTTTATGGAAATGTTGATCTGATTTGATGTTGTTAATTCATTTTTGATCAGTGGATTTGATGAAAGAAGGCAAGATAGTGACCCTGCGCAATGCTAAGATTGACATATACCAAGGATCTATGAGGCTTGCAGTTGATAGATGGGGCTGCGTTAAAGTCTCAGAGGAGCCACCAGACATCATTGTCAAGGAAAATAACAATCTTTCTCTCATCGAGTATGAGCTTGTGAGTGTCGAAGCTTGATTTTGGTTCAGCCAGCAACCAGAAAGAAAGCAGAGTAATATCAGTTTCTCTCTCTCTGCTTTGAGTTTTTGGGTATATCAGAATTTGCAGGTGGGTTTGTTATGAAAATCAGGTTGCAGGTTTTTATTTTATGTTTTACAAATTTAATAAAAACAAAATTCTAAGAACTCCATAATGAAGAACACCATTGGATGAACATTTGAAATTAAAGTCCTTAACTATTCAGAAAAAAAAAAACACTTATTATATTGTTAAGGACTCCAATGGTGGGTAACACCATTGGAGGTGCTCTCAGCATCTCCTTCACTCTGTTCCTGACGTCACTATCTTCCTCCATCACACTCCTTATCGCTCTCTTTAGCTCCTCAGCCGTAACCGTCTCCATCTCACCCTCCAACAAATCTCCCTTAATAAACCTCTGTATCCCCACCGCCAATCCCATCTCCTCCACCATCTCGAACGCATTCACCTTCTGCTCCGCATATAACGGCCACATCACCATCGGAACGCCAAACCATAAGCTCTCAAGCATTGAGATCCATTCAAAATGAGTAACAAATCCACCAATCGCCGGCTTCGCTAGAACCACCACTTGTGGAGCCCACCCGATCACCTTCCCTCTATCCGACGTCTGATCCAAGAATCCCTCTGGGAGAATCTCCTCCAGATTCGCGTAGTCATCGAGCTCCTCCGTCAATATATTCGGTGATGCGCGGAGCGACCAGAGAAAACGATAACCGCTTCGATCTAAGGCGACGGCCATTTCTTTAATTTGTTCCTCACTGAAGCCTCCCAAGCTACCAAAACAGAGGAAAACTACCGATCTCTCCAGTTGCTTATCCAGCCACCACAAAACCTCCGACTCCTTCCCACCGTCGTCATCATCGCCGGAATAATCGTTTTGGAGATGCAACACTGGTCCAATATATACGCTCGCGGGAGATCACCTTCACGTGATAAAACATTCAAAGCGTGAGGCTCCAGGTCAGCAACTGTATTTACTAAAATACGCTTCATTTTTCTGAATTTTCTCGCTTGAGCTAGAAATAACGGTAGCCACTCCTTCCAAACGAAAATGTATGGAAGACACTCAACGGGATAAGGACGTGTCAAACACGGAAACTCCAACTCTTTCACCAATGATTCTTCACTCAGCTCGCTCGTGTCGCACTTCTTATCGTCGTACATCTTTTGGAGATGAAGCGTGATACCAAGGAACGTGGCGTTTGACGTGTACACAGAGTAACTCGGAACTTTAAATTCGTCAGCTAGATCCATCATCGGGATACATAACATGTAGATGACGAATCCTGCAAGATGCAGCCACGAGGTGACGACGAGTCTCGCGACTGCATCTCTCACTTGTGGCTTTTGATTTACCATGTAGAGTTGATTCGGGCGGCGTTCCGAAGTTGGAGCGAAGGAGATGGTTTCGTGACAGAGACGAGGTTGAGATGGGGTGAAGAGGGAGGAGATTTGAGCGAAATCACTTGTGTCTCCACCGGAAGATCGTGGGATGATGATGACGGTGATGGAAAGACGTTTGTCTCCGTTGACTAGTTGTTTAGCTAACTCGACGGTTGATCTGAGATGGCCGATTCCTGGCGAGGGGATGAACACAAGCTCCATCATCATTTTATTGGGTCGACGACTTATTTCCCCACGAGAAGTATCTTATAGCACCAAATGTCCACAGAACTATGACCTCTTTCTATTTACCCCTGAGAATAAAATTTGCAACCGATTTCCCCACCAAATTAAAGTTATATCAATATTTTCCCATAATTATAACGATCAAAATCTAAAAACCCACAAAATTGATTTTTATTGGTTTACTGTTTATAAACAAGCTGTAGATCATGTTGAATACCCGGATTAAGATTCAAACAGTAGGATATTTTTAAATTCTAATGTTGGATCGGGTTACTATTCTGATCTAGAATATGGTTTGGTTAGGTTTTTAATTTTGTCTTGGTTTAGTTTTGCTCGGTTTTATTATATGAGAGTGGAGATTTGATATTCGGTTTTTAGAAATCATAACTAAACCAAATTTGATGGGGGAAATAGATTGCGAACTTTATTCTCGGGGGTAAATAGAACGGGGTCATAGTTCTGTGAACATTTGGTGTTATATGATACTTCTCGTTGGGAAATATATTGTCGACCCCATTTTATTGGTTGATTGTTCTTTGGTTTTAAAGGTTTTGGATTCTTTCTCTTGGTTGATTGGTTTAAGCGTAATAGTAACTGTCTTTTATACAAAAGTAAGTTGTTTGTTGGGTCACGTAAGGTTGGCCTATATAGTTTAGTTGGGCCAAGTAAAGCCCATAAATAAGTACAGCCGCCAATGGAAACCCTAATCCAGTGTTCTGTATATTTATATGCTTTTCTGTAATTAGGCAAATCATAGCATCTTTCTCTGTTGTCTCGACTGTACTGACTTGACTGTATGGTACTATTATGGGTTAGTTTAGGGGTTTGTGTGAAAGAGTTTATCTTGTGTGGAAGGGTATATGGTGATGATACAAATGTTGTGGACTAGAGTTTCTGATCTGGGCACTTCACCCAGAAGTTGAAGACTAACCCTTGGCTGTCTGAGTATTCCCTTTCACAGCTTTTTAGTATTTTTTTCTATTTAATTTGAAACTATAAAAGATTTTGATTAGTTTTGTTTTATTTTGTTATTTTTGCTTATTGATTAGGTAAAGAGCTGATGATGATAAAAACAATTATCTTAGCGGATTTCAGTGAGGTTTTATTGATCAATGATCTGACTTTGTTACACACACTGAAGCTCTTTTTAAATACTAAGTTTGTGTTGTTTTGGTTTGATTATAATATGTTATTGATGCTATGATGAGATGAAAGCACGAAGAGTGTAAGAAGAGCAGTGGACAAGTACAAAATCTATTATAGGGTTTGGTTTTGCCGTGAGCTTTACTAATAAACGACTTCTCCTTCCACTGAGCTTATTGTTGAAATCGTTTTGAGTTTATAATGTAGGCGTCCATTACCAATTCTGAAGGATAAGACCATTCCTTCAGGTATAATGGCTTGTGACGCTATATCAATTTCGTGGTATATCCTGATCATCTTGCTCTTTTCACTTGCGTTTTGATCCTGGAAATGCCTCGTATATTATTTAACAATTGTTTTTCTTTGATTTACTTTATCTCTCTCTTTGCCACAAGCCAGCCAGTCCGTGTCAGTCTCTATTTTCCTCTGTCATACTCTCTACCACCTTCAACCCTTGTAAATTCTTGGCATCGTTTCAGAGATGCAATGGTTGTGTAATTAATGTTTTCGATTGAAGCTTGTGCCAGAGATGAAGAAGGTTGAAGCTCTAATGTTTTTAATGTAGTGCATGCCAACTTATGTTTGCTTGTGTTATTTGTCGAGTTTGATAGATTAATGTAAAGAGTTTTGAAAGGACTAGGGGCGGGGAAGCTTTTAAGAGGCTGAGATTGTGGGAACTTTAGAGGCCAAAAGTTTATAAAGATGATGGAATTGATGTGAAGCTCTCGTTAATGCATATATAAGATATGACAATTCTTATAGTTCTGCCTGTGATAGAACTTTTCTACTCGTTCGACTTATTGTGATTCATCAGTTCTTTTTCTTACGTTTGAATATTCATTGAGGCTGATAAATCATAAAAGGCAGCTCGTTTGTTATTTACTCCCATGGTCAACTTTTAATCTCTGGCTTTCCTAATCTTAATGTCATAGTTTTTTTCGTTTCTTTGGACAAGAATGTAAATAACAAACATTTAAGTCTCTTTTCTTTTTAGACACTGAAAGATTTTAGGAGAAGGAATAAAGGCCGGTTTAGCTAGGACTATTTTGGTTGCTTTTGTCAGTTGGCTTCAGTTTTTTTGTTACAATCTCTTAATTTTCTGATCGGAGAGCATATGGTACTAGTTATATCTTCTTCCAACAATTCTTGAATTATCCATACTCCATCCGTTTCAAAAAGATAATATTTTTAGGGATTTTTGCAAATTTGACTCAAAACTCATGGTCAAACACAAAACTAACTTCTTCTTTTATCTTATCTTGTTTTGGTCCTATCCACCCCACATTCATTTTGTTTACGAAAATGCCAATAATTTTTTTTTTTTACTTTTTTTTGAAAATAGCCTTTTTACTCTCTCAACATCATCATCTGCAAGTATTTACAACATTGCCATTGCCATGAATACTCCCAACAACCTTGTACAACCCAACAACATTGTACAACCAAGGTTTGAAGCTTTTAATGCACTTAAAATCGATATTCATACTCTCTTTCTCAATTGTTATGAACTAAAAACAACATCTCATTCACTTTGTCTCCATATTCATGCCAAAAACCCAAGCTTTTGATAACAAATTTTTTATGGTTGATAGAGCCATTTAAGCATTACAATTGTTGTTGGGTTACTTTCGTTCGATGTTCTGGGTGGTTGGAGAAGACTTTGTGTGCAAAGGAAGTCATCTCACCTAGTTTAAGGTTTGAAATTGAATTTTTTTCCAGATCTCTTCGCGTAGAAGACTTACCCGTAAGTCGTCTGGATGTAGAAGACTTACGGATAAGTTTTCTGGTCAAACGGACGACTTACTTCTAAGTCGTCCAGCTTTGTTTGTTAAAAAAAAACTCCAGACGACTTAATTATAAGTCGTCTAGATAAAACGGTCTACTTTGCTTTTGACCGATTTGTGTCAGATATTTGACTTTTTCTGGACGACTTAAAATTAAGTCGTCTCTGGGAAAGTTAAAATTTCAATATTTTATTAAATCTAGACGACTTAATTATAAGTCGTCTCAGGTTAGTTTTGCAATTCAAAAATAAAACTTAAATTTTTAACTTCTCCAGACGACTTAATTAAAAGTCGACCGCTCAGACGATTTTAATTAAAGTCGTCCAGGATAATCAAAGTCGTCCAGAATATTCTGGTCAAACCTTGCTTATTCTGGACGACTTTAACATAAGTCTTCTGATCAGACGACTTCTAATTAAGTCATCTGGAGAAGTTAAAAATTTAAGTTTTATTTTTGAATTACAAAACTAACCTGAGACGACTTATAATTAAGTCGTCTAGATTTAATAAAATATTGAAATTTTTACTTTCCCAGGGACGACTTAATTTTAAGTCGTCCAGAAAAAGTCAAATATCTGACACAATTCGGTCAAAAGCAAAAGTAGACCGTTTTATCTAGACGACTTATAATTAAGTCGTCTGGAGTTTTTTTTTTAACAAACAAAGCTGGACGACTTAGAAGTAAGTCGTCCCATTTAAATTTCAATTGCAAAAATGACCTCAANTTTTTTTTTAACAAACAAAGCTGGACGACTTAGAAGTAAGTCGTCCCATTTAAATTTCAATTGCAAAAATGACCTCAATGGGCGACTTAGAAGTAAGTCGTCCGAACGACTTACGGGTAAGTCGTCCGGACGACTTAGTTCTAAGTCGTCCAGACGATGTTTAGTAAACTTTCATGAAATTCTCTATGTTTACTAATGTATTTTATTTTGAATTTTTGCAGATGATTCGTCAGTTACATGCAGTGTATGGAGAATGGTTGTTGAAAGATTGCCGTTGGGATTTTGTGGTTGATGATCTCAAAGGAGCAAGATTTTTTTTATTGAATGAAGATTCAACACATGCTGAACTTGTTGCAATGGCACAAGAAGATTATAACCTGGACATGAGCACACTCACTGTGGAGATTAGATACTCATTACTAGCAGAAATGATGATGGCTCCAGACACCCCTCCCATTCATGTTACAAGTGATAGACAAGTTCATAACTTGCTCGAGATACTCAAAACTCATAGAGTATGTATTTGTGTATCAAGCTGAAGATGATGTGGTTTTTGAAGATTTCAAAGATACATATGCTATTGAAGGAGGACGATCGAATGGTAACAGTATATATGTCAACAAGAGTTTTGTTAGCAAGGATGCACTGCTTTCAGAGCTGCGGTTGACAGCAGTGAGGCGTAAGTTCTCCTTCAGAATATACAAGTCAACGAAAACTCTCCTTGTGTCAACATGTCGGGTT